CTTGATTTCTCTCGCATTGCTTCTCTGTGTATGATCTGTACTTTGACCAGTCTATCCGGGAAGTGGGCGCGATTTGCGACTTGCTTAGCCCCTTGATTTTTATATAGGTGGGGATGTGATCACTGCCATGCGTTTCATTGTCCGCAAACCACTGCACCTTGGTGTTCAGGCTACTCGACACAAAAGTTAGGTCGAGACAGCTACTATATGTCAGACCCCGTAAAAACGTGGGAGCGCCGTCATTTAAACAATGTAGTTGGTGGTCAGATGCAAAGGAGGACACATCTCTTCCCCGACGGTCCATCTTCTGGCTTCCCCACAGGGGGTGATGAGCGTTAAAATCACCGGTAATAATCCATGGCCCAGGTGTCGCTGATATAATGGCGCTTAATCTTGCTGGGTCGAAGCGGCCTGAAGGCGAAATATATACTGCCACTAGCGTGAAGTTCACGTTCTTACGCTTAACTGTCAGGCACACGTATTGGTTGCTGTCGTCCGGTGTTACTGGATGCTCAATATATGTGAGTTCGCACCTGATGTAAACAATGACCTTACTGGTTTCGTTACGGGTTGCAGATCTGAAAGCCTCGTATTTAGAAAGTCTTATAGCATTGTGAAGACGTGGTTCACAAATTACGATAATTGGAAACTGATTCTTGAAAACATATGGTCGAAAATCCGAAATGCGGGGTTTAAGACCTTGGGCATTCCATTGGGAAATTGATGCCTCTTTCACTTGTTTACGGAAGGGCTGCTGGGAAAGAGCCATGGTGCTTCTGTAGATTTGATAGCACCGGATTCAAAGCGTCCAATATTTGAAGAGCGCTGTGGGCAGCCGGAGTCTGAATATTATTCAGGAGTACTCGAATTGTCTTCGTGAGGGTCTTAATCACGTCTATTATTTCCTTATCTTGAATGTCGTGACTTACTCGCTCTGAAGTAGCTTTCAGTGGGCGATGCTGCCGTTCTATTGGCGGTGTCACTGACGGCAGCGCTGGCCACGCATCAGGGTCAATGTTTCTTGCGTCTTTCTAAGGATGCTTGTTGTTGGCACTTGTTGATGCTTGTGGTGGTGAGTGCGTGATATGGGGTAGCGGTGTATCCCTGGCCTTGGCAGAGGATGTCCTAGGAGTTTTCCTATGGTGCGAACGCCGACGTCGCACTTTGGCAGCAGCCTCCCTGTGGGTAGAACCGTCTCTGGCCATCTGCCTCAGCACTTGCATTTCCTTCTTCACATTTGGGCACTGCTTTGATGACGCCTCGTGAGGACCTTGGCAATTGCCGCATTTGCGATGTTCTGCCTGGCAGGCTTCCGTGTTGTGCGACTCCGAACATCGGGAGCGCACACAGCAGAACTTGTGCAAACAGCACTCACATGTCCTATTTTACAGCACTTCCGACACTGAAGAGGTTTCGGCACGAATGGCCGTACTGTGTGTCGAAAATGACCAACTCTTACTTGAGTTGGGAGGCTGTCACCCTTAAAAACTAGTTTCACGCGTCGTGAGTTCCCGAGACGGCGGGCTTGCAAGATTGTAGTAGCTTCCGTCACTGGTTTGATTAGAGTTGGAAAATCAATATCGCGGATAGAAGTGTCGACGTCGTAGATAACGCCTGCCCTAGAGTCCTTGCCATCTGGTATGAAAGAACGAACGTTGACGTTCCCGAGCACATTCACCTTGGTCAATACGTCGAGAGCAGTACGTTGCGTAACGTCTATCGCCAGAACGTTCTTGCGGCCATTGATTCTCACGTCTGTTATTTGTCCCTGAACGAGCACCTCAAGTGACATAGACGTGACCTGGCGATTAAGTCGGTTCATGCTGTCAGCGGCATTCAGCGGGACAAACAAAATAGTGTGAACCGGTGGCTCTTGAATATTCGTGGTGGCCTTACTTTGGGAAGGAGATGTCGTAAGCAGCCTCCTCTTTGCCTTGTGTCTTGCCACAGGCACAAAGTCACTTTCATCGGAGCTCTCATCACTGGCCGTAGAGTACATGAGCGTGTCCTCACTGTCGACGTCACTTGGGTGGCCGGAGCGCTTTCTTAGAGTGGTCACCGACGACGCGGGACGTATGGGTGGAGGCCCTGGTGATTCTACGTCCATTTCCGCAGGCAGAAGAGCGGCGTCTTCCACTAGCACCAAAGAAAACGAGAAAAAATAACAGAGACTGAAACCAGCGTTCCACTCAGGAAAAACTTCGTCTTCTTCTACACAGAAGTGGAGACTCTCAAAATAGTCCCAATGAAGGACTTCAAATTGCTTCACAATTAAGGAGCACGTACAAAAGCACTTATGTCTGCTTCTTTTCAATGCTGCAATGGCAAGTCTTCCAGAAGTGCTGCCTGAACCCTTGAACATTTCCATGTATGCAGAAGACACATACACATGGACATCCCACAAATCACTGGAAGTGATCAAACATCGGCTTCAGCAAGGACTAAACGCAATAAGTGATTTACCTCAAAGAGCGAGGCATGCAGATTTTTCACACCAAATTGGTAGTTCTACATTACACGAGAAAGACAGTGAAAAACCTGAAACATTTTGTTGATGGCCTGAGAATCGAAATTGCATTAAAGCATCGTTTCCTTGGTGTTATTTTAGACAGCCTACTCAGATGAAGCCAGCGTATTGATGATCGAGAAAATCAAAAGAACTGCACCATAAATGTTATACGTCGCATAGCCGAAACAAAATGAGGTGGTACATCAGCGTTTCTACTCCGCGTCCATTGTGAACTAATTCAACAAAAAATTGCCTACTGTGCGCCAGTTCTCCACAACATCTCTCAGACGTCTCTGTGCCGACTTCAGTTGTTACAAGCACAAAGCTTAAGCGTATGTCTCGGGGGGGGGGGGGGGGGGGCACAGGCAACATCACGTTTTTTGACACTGTCAGAGGCAAGAGAACCCAACTTTATAGTAATTCAAAATGTGCAGACCTGTCAGCACCTCTTTCGTCTACTCACGCATCACCTTTCACATGTGCTCATATCAAACATCGTGAACCGTGCTGGAGCGCAAAGACACAATGTGTACCAACAGTAGATTTCTCGGCTTCCCGTTTCGACACATTGGCCACTAGACCAAAACTAGCCGCCATGACTGCTTGAGCTACCAACTATTGAAACGTCAATAGAAGGACTTTGCAGCAAACATGAAGTGCCAATTGTTGCCGGCACTGCCGTTGGCCTCACATCATCTGTTTGACAGGTACCATGGATACACTCACGTGTACACTGACGGTTCCATCGCCAAAGAGACAGCGACATCAGCATTTATAATTCCGGAAATGTCACGAAGAATATGCTTGTCAGTTAGGCCATCTCGGCTCTTCAACAACGTCGGAGCTCGTAGAGATTTTGCTAGTCATAAGCTTTATTAAAATGTCAACAACACCAAGAAAATGGGTGGTTACTTCAGACTCTCTGGCGGCACTCGCATGTGTGGAAAATGCCAGTGTACGCCATACTGAAAGAGCTTTGAGAAGCTATGAAGTCGAATCGTTGAGTGGCATTTCAGCGGGTTTCAAGACACTGCGGAATCAATGGGGATGAAATGGCACATAAGTTCGCGATAACCGCTCAGCATTAAACGGCGCTGTGCCTCATTCTTGTATCTCAATAGGATGTGAATAGAAGTACAAAAAACGTGAATTATCCTTGTCTACCGGGTTCACGCACAAAACAAAGGAATCGATCCTATATGCTGTTGATTCTAATCTTGAATGCCAATTAGACCGTGACCTCCCAATGCGTATCGACATATTCATACATCGCCTACAACTCAGAACTCCTTACACAAAGCCCTTTCTACTTCTTAATCAGCGTGCAACATCTTCAGCATGTACATGCGACCATGACGACGAGGATATCGATCGCCTCTTGCTCCACTGTCCGAAACACGACACACACCGAAGGTGACTCGAACAGGAACTCCATACGTTGGATCCCGAGCGGCCGTTTGCGTTGGATAAATACTAGGCCAATGACCATATAAAACGAATGGCAAAGCAATGAGGGTGCTGCAACACATCTTCGAAGGAACAAAGATTAAGAACCCTACTGAGCTGACTATAGTTAAAAGTGGGCAGTGGTGACTCCGGTGTTTGTTCTGCCTAAAGGAGAACGTTTCCACTCACCTATGTATGACTGTATATATGAATATAAGCTACTTTGTCTTTTTATTTTTTATTTGCTAATAGTCAAGTGGAAAGGAGCAGCCGCCGCCAAGTTATGGTGAAAAAGCACTCCTTTGTTTATTTTCTATTTCAATAAAAAACACTTATTGTAGCTATTATACCAACAAAAATGCTCGCCCAATAAGCGTACTATTTTGCAGTGCGCCGGGATGTGGCCGTCACGCACCCGTAACTTCCACAGTGCTGCAACAAGCTTGTGAGATCGATTATAGGTTCTCCTGTGACCCACTTGTCATAGACCTTCCTGAAATTACCTAGAGTAGACTCTGGCGCTGCGATCATTCAGTAAACACGGCAATAATTGGTATACCATCGATTTGTGTAGCCTTCATGCTTGCGGCCAACGGACGCTCTTGTGGCTTCGTTTATTGCGGTATTTTTGTTTTGTTTGGAAAAAAACGAACAAACTGTCTTTCACCTTGTGATTATATTTGAAGTGGCATACCTAAAATGTTAAGGTAGTGAGGCGTAACTGCCGAACATTTGCCTGATTGTTGTTTGGTGACAAAGCAGTTTCAAGCCACGCGAAGCAAGATGAACGTAAAGTATGAAGGCTAGGCAAATCCATGTCATACCCATGATTGTCATGCTTGCTGAAACTCCATATGTTGCAGCTCCCATTAGCGCTGGCGCCCGAGTTCTCTCTAGTGTATAGTTAGGAAACTCTGCGCCCCTGTTGGCCTATGCTGTTTTAAACCATCATCATCACTGCCCAGCTCTTTGTTTCACGCATTAGTACTTAGACAGTACTCGTAGTGAGCATTCAAAGTATGTTTTTTTCCATTATTCGCAGGCATAAAGCAGCGCAAATCTGGTGAATCTCCTTCAGCAGAGTTGACGGCTGACACTCCTTCAGCACTGGTGAAAATATTAAGGCTTGCCGTAAAAAGTATGGGACTAGATCCACTCAAGCTGCCGGATAAGTCCCTAAAAGTTCCAGTTTTGGGTGGCATGCAGCTGCACAATGGCAGCCTCTCAGGCCTCGGCAGCATTCGGAGCACTGGGCCAAACTACTTGAGGTCTGACGATCGCGGCACGGAACTTCACATTGACATGGGCACTGGGAGTGTCGCAATCAACTATACCACAACTATTTCTGTGCTGTTTCTTTCTGTAGACGTATACATATTTGTGGACGTCGACAGTACTCGCTTGACGGTTACGATAAATGAGTAAGTTCAATGAAGAAAATTTGCTATAGCTCCTTTTATGGTGGGAAATAATGGACCGTTACTCCTTACTGGTCACTGGGTTTAGTTCTGCGGTGAGACATTGCATTCCTCCAAGGCGGCGTTTGCCAGAGTTCTGCGAATTACGTCGTAGTTATTTAATTATGTTAATTATTCTCCTTATTCTGCAGACCTTGTCTGTCTAGACAGGAGTAATAGTAGAAAAATGGCTACATTAGCTGTCGAAACTGACACATTTAAAAAAAGACAGTTCAGTGCTGTATGTTTTGCTATTAGCAGTTTCAAAGATACGGAATTTAGATCTCATGCAAGTACAGTACAGAATGTAATAGGCGAGTTCGAAGATAAAATATGGCTGCATTTCTAGAATAAAGATTCTAACGTTTCACAGTTCACCGCATATGATCGTAGAGAATCACAGTACGCTATTGATGATAAAAAACGAGTTTTCATTAATGTCGTTGCGACGCTTAGACAACCGCAATTTCTTGTTATGGATAGTTTTTGAAAAGTGTCTGAGGGGTTCAAGGAGACGTTAAGCTCTGGATATTTTTTTATAATGCTCATGACACAAATCATACAAAAGTCTGTGTTTGAAAGCTATTCTGCTTTGATTAGACAACACAGTTTGGTTTTTTTACCTGAATCAGTAACAGTGGTAAACCCGGGAAGAACTTCAAGACACAAATTGAACTGCTAAATTTCGCACTCAATCAATTTTTCATAAGAAATTTGTGATGGAGACTGCAAATTATGGCGGCATATTCTAGTGTGGCCTAGTTAGTGTCTTTTGCGTGGTTAGTTTATTTTCAGGAGGCACGTCACTCATTCTTCTCTTGACAAAATACAGCTTTCTTTGTAATTTCGAACAAATAGCCGCTATGTATGTTGACCATGTTAGGTTGGATTTAATGCATTTACCAAGAATTTTACATGAATGATTTAGGTGATTTCCCATTTCTCAATATATATATATATATATATATATATATATATATATATATATATATATATATATATATATATATATATATATATATATATATAAGGGAAAGAAGTGTATACCTAAGGGCTCGTTTTTCCGTGTTTTGACAATATATTAGTGGGATCTAACAGACAGTAATGCCAAGGAATGTACAGGGGAAGTTATTGGTTCTAATAACTTCCCCTGTACATTCCTTGGCATTACTGTCTGTTAGGTCTCATATATATATATATATATATATATATATATATATATATATAGGAAATTAGAAGGCTTTTCCTTGTTTGTAAAACTTATGGCTAGAGTTTTGCTTGTGTTTAGTGTCATGCACCATTCAGAGCACCATGCCCTTGTGTCAGCTCGCTGTGTCTTTGCACATTATTATTTCCATTGTGCACCTTATTGTTTTAAAATTTCAATGCAGGCAACTGTCTTACTCCTTTGGTTAACCTTACCGTATTTATTTTCGTACTTTTCATCAGCTTCTCGTGGCGTGAGCAGGGTGTTTATGTCTATCTCTAGCAAGAACCAGGATGTTCTCCAGCTTCATACAGCTCATTGTGTCCCTAAGACCACGGCTGTGCAAAGATTTTTCGAAACTCTAATACAATATGATACAAGATACACGAGCAACAAGTTTTGAGGCGCGCATACAAATTACTGTATTTATTCGAATGTAACCGTATTTACTCGAGTTTGGGGAGGGGGGGGGAGGATTTGACGAACACGTGGTTACCGACCTCAAAAATGAGTAAAATGCCAATGGAAGTATACAACTTTTACTCTGCGGGTATGTGTCAGCACAATGATACCGCGTGGGGGGTCTCGTACACACGAGACAATTCTCCAGACCAGTTACGTCTGTGTAACTTACCCAAACAAAGCGTTAGTAATCACGATATGCGAGAAAACAATGAGCAACACTCACAATCCACCTAGCCACAAAGCACATTACTACGGGACCAAGGTTATCATGCGCAGGCCGTGTGTTTGAGATCCATGTTCTAGCGGGTTCCCATGATTCAAGAGCTTCAAGACGCTCCCGAACGACCGACCTAATACAATGCGGAGTTTTGCTTTTTCCGTGAACTCACTACAGGTATGCAGGACTACCACACAAGTGTATAACAGTAGGAAAGCTGGTAGCGGCATCTTTTGTGATGCGTCGTGGAGTATACGTAAAGGACGAACAACTACAACGGCTCTTCATGTTCGACTTATATCCTATAGCGTAATATCTTCATTACCAACATACCAACATGCAATATTCAGCAATCTTTCTTCTACACGAGAGAACATGGCCAGCCTATATATTTTCAGACCCATTGTGCAGCTTGAAAAAGCGTTGCAGGAAACCGCCTCTGTTAATACAAACATGCCTTAGGGCTCCAATAAAGTGTCATTTAATCAAACTGTAAAAGAACTGAGAGGCGTACAAAAAGATAAGAAATGTATATTTAAATAAAATAGAAAGAATACGATGTATTGAACCCTCGGAGTGGCACTGAATAAGATTAACACACTTTACCCCACGACACGTTCAAAAGTTAACCCAAATAATTATGACGTATTCTTAAGTCATTTTTGACGTTAGAAATAGAAAATTCGTAGGCTTTGCAAGAATGGCCTTAAGCAGCTCAATGGGCCTCATAAGAAAGACGGGGGATTTCCTAGAGCAATATTTCTCAAAAGCACTACATGAAAAGCTCACGGCCACTCTTCATACTTACCATTATAATAATGCAAAGACAAGCTTCGCTATTTGAAGTCAGTAAGTAAGCAGAGTTTTTGTTGCGTTACCGGCACAACCAGATTCTATAATGATCGTCAACAGCACCTTTACATAACAGCAATGTCCAGTGGAGTGCAAATCAGCAGTTCAAATGACGCATACAGTTAATTGTAAGAATAACACAGGGAGTTTACTAACATAGAAACAAACAAATTACATACTTCAGTAAAATACAAAAAAACGCTACAGCGACCTAGGTAATCTATGGAATCCAAAAGAATGACAGCTGAGAAAGCACTAATATTGCTAACAATCAAAGTATTACTTTAAGAACTATTTAAATAAAGGCAGCAGGAAGAGAATCATGCGGTACAGATCTCGTTAGGTAAAACTTGTTCCATTATAATCTAGCATCGTCACAGGCTGTGCTCAAGTTATTTTTACCTTATTCGTATATAGGTGAATCTTATGGCATGTAAGTGAAAGCTAAATCTACGAGATCTATGAAATCACCTCGCGTGTGAAAGCAACCAACCATAAAGTAACTCCAATCTTACGTTCTTTAAACGCTTAAACCAAAGACCGAACAATGCTGCATGCAACCGAAACAGGTGAGACCATTTGTGATGTGCGCCATGGGTGTAAGGCACAAGGTCCCCCTGTCCCCGCGGTCGAACTTACATCGGCCAAAATGGAAGGTCCCTGAACACGCGAGTGAGAGAACACTTGGATATTTTCAGCAATATTGCGTTTGGGTGCAAGTGCATCTTAATAAAAGTATTGTTTCTCTACGCAGGACGAGCAATGCAAAGTTGGCTCTGCAGTCTTTCGAGATTATGTCACTGCAGGGGCTTGATATTCGACTGAAAGCATTGAAATTGACTGATCCGGCCACGAACGCGATCTTAGGAACTGCAACAACAGTACTCAGAGGCCTAATAAAGGTCGTAGCTGAGTCCATCATGCGCGAAATGATAATTGAAGTGATTAAAAAAGTAAACGAACAGCTATGACGTCGCACTCAATGAACGATTTGTTTCAGTTTTTCTTCCCTTCTTGCACAACTTTTTATATTTAGTTATGGATTCCCCAGCCTGGTAAGACGACAAGTATGTCGTGGCATTCTTATGATTACCTTTGCTATTAGAATTTCAAAAGCTAAATTGGTCACTTGGACTAGTTGCTACCACACACATAACATGAAAACAGCGTAAGAAGACACAGACAGCAGCACTACCAGCTGCGTTTTCTTTCTGGGACATCCAGTATTCTTGCACTGTTTTCATTTGAATATTCCTGATGAGGCCAAAAGCCACACGATCAGGTTTGCATGCCTAGGGCCAATATTGTCGGGAGACGAGCCAATCCAAAGCGAAAATTCAGTACGCCGCAGAATGACTGCTGGCAACTAAAACTCTAACTCCTTGATAGTGGACAAAAAAATTATTGAAAAATAAAGGTATCTGAATAGCCCAGGGGACGTATACAAACTGAGAGTGTGGAGGAAAGGCCTCGGAAAGATTGCGAATGGGTGGTTACACCCCGTAGACCTGAGTATGTAGGTGACTGCCATGAAAGTTGTGAGCATGAAGTGATCTAACTAATAAGTTTGGAGCAATGTCTCCATTTAGATACCCTCGTCTAACTAATCAGCTTGAAGCAACGTCTCTATTTAGATACCCGGGGGGAGCAGACGCTTTATAACGATCCACTGAGCTGACTCTCGTCAAGAATATTACGTTATTTACCTATTGTAATAATGTTACCACTCTTCTCTTTATCGAGTATTGTATCTCGTTCTTCCCCTTCCTTATGAGGGAGTAGCGCCCGCTTTATAATGTTCCCTTTCAAATTATCCCTAGCCGCTTGTCTGCTCTCGTAGTAGGACAGTCGCAACACAGGACAACGCTGAGCCAACAAGTCTTTTATTGCAACTTGAAACGTAGAACTCACGAAAATGTGAGAACAATAAACGGTTCGCAGGTCTGACGACGTTATAGCAGCGTTACATCGGCAGCAGTAACACAAAGTGGTTCTAATGTACAACCACACAACATGCAAGCTCCGGTCTTTGAGGACAATAAAATAAAATAGAAGAAAACTTGTCTCTATATCCACCTCTCGCGGTGCGATGAGACGCTCAGCTGTTCTGCACACTTCCAACGCCTTCAAACAACCTTGGTAAGTCTTCCCGTGGTCGGTAGGCCTCATCGGGATCTGTAACGCGCTTGCAGACGATTTCCCCCGATCTTGGTATGTATTCAAACAGGTACACAGTCATGGAAATCATGAAACAAGAATACGAGTCACTTAACATGAAAACCATGGCCAAAATATTATTGTTAGCACTATTATTACTAACATTGCCATTACCAAATTTGTTCATTCAACAGGCAGAGTGCTGAAAACCTTTTTTTTTCTGCCCCAGTTCAACAGGAAGGATCGTTACCTATGGTGTGGCCGCAATGTGCCACAGGTGATCAGTCTATATCCCCGTAGACATTGGAAATCTTAAATCGACAATAGGAAGGAGCCATTTAACCGAAATTGCAGTGCCAGTGTCAGGAGTCTTCTCGGCGGGTTCAGTCTCCCGATTGAAGCGAAAAATGAAAGTTACTACTATTGAAAATTGGTACTATTGAAAATTACTACTAATGAAAATTACTAGTATTCAAGACAGACATTTTGTCCGGTAGCCACGGCTGGAGGTTTAGCAGGCAACAAACTGTAGCCGCTCTCTTCTTCGGATATGTCAAACCGTTTGTTACCGCGACTCGAAAAGGAAACACTGCCACCTTGCACATTTTGCGCATCAATGAACGAGCCAGATCCTTCGTGACGTGACAAACGTAATTCAGTTTTCTAAGACGGAGAGTTGTTGTGGGAAAAAAATGCACATCGATTCTCCCTATGGACCACTATGCTGGGATCCGAAAGCGTAGCGGGAATCGCGCATTGAGTTTCCGTTTCTCTTATGTGACTTATGATACGATAGGTTGTCGGGATGTTTAGACTACCGCTTGCCGATGCTGATGTTTACGTTCAGATTCCCGAGCATTCCTCTGTTCCGTGGCGGCGGTCACTCCCGCTGCAACAATGCACCGACGTGAATGTGTTCTTCATCGCGTTTCGCACACCGTGTACAGAGAGAGAATGACGGAAGTTCAGTGGACGCGCGCTTTCGCAGCCTCGCCGCTTCGAGATTTGCTTCCTGGCGTTGCCGTTTACATTCAGCTTCGCGGACATCCATAGCACCGCTACGGAGGAGAGAGAAATGCTTGCCGGCGTTGCGGCTTACGCTCAGTATCAAGAGATTCATAGCACTTCAGCGAAGGGTAGTGCAACGGGAGTGAGCGCGCCGCACTATATCCGAGTGCCCCGCTGTGGCAGATCGAGCGAAACAGGCGAGGAGAAATGAAGTGGAGGCAGCACTCACGCCACCTCCTCAACCCCACCTTCCTCGCGCTCAAAGGGGGAGAGTTGGCGCATGCGCAGTATGGGTGTAAACGCCACAGAAGGGACCCTGTCTCGAGCATAAGATACTTTCGCATATAATACAGGAACAACCCTGAACAAGTTAAGCTGCTTCTTAAGTCCCACAGAAAACACAGCACTGTGGGCCATAAATGGCAGCGAAACTTATTCACGGTTGTGTAAAAAATGTACAGTATGGTCTACTGTTAGAGAGAAAACGCGAGCTCATGGCTAGCGCATGGCACGGTGCTAATTGGCGGCGATACTTGCAAGTGCGGCAAATGCGCGTAAACTATAGACCCATTCCATGTTTGTTAACACAGGCAGGCCTATGTCGACATTACAAGTAAACTTATAGCAACGTCCGCACGTACTTCCGCCATAAGTGCTGAGGGCTGCGATGTGAGCAGTTCGTCGGCATACCGTTTTTTTTTTCTCGTTGCTTGACTGAGAACACCACATGCACCATTGAAAATCCAGCAGAAACTGCGGTAGGCAGAGCGTCTTTTCCTACCAAGACAGCGTCACCGCATTTTCGTGACGTGAATCCGGGGAATCCGTTCACACCAAGCGCTAATCTGGAAAGCTGACGTGGATTATTAGGGCTGCATTACGGAGACACGCCCACCGTGCATTAGTGGATTGCCTCGTGCCCGCTTTGGAGCGGAGACAAAGCAACGCGATCGGTTTGAGCAGCCGCGCGCACTCGCTGCCTCACCGCTTCGAAAAGCCGCTTGCCCGCTTGCGTCCTCCTCGCTCGGTGTGAACGCGCCTTAAGGGCGACACACGCCCAGTTTAATCAGCTACTTTTCTACCTGTGCGCATGAAAGCGGTGGTTCCACATTTTTGAGGTGCAATTTATATAGCTGTCGCTCCGCCTGCTGTTCAAAAGATTTTAGGCAAGCACAAAAATTGTGTGGTTTTATTTATTGCAGCAGTTTTTCCGCAAGGTATTACCACTAAGCTCGTCATATCTTTCACATACTGCTCACTGGAACTGACCAGTTTTCATAGAAAAGAAGGCTATTAGTGCCTGAAGCAGCAAATATTCCATGTTCGCCTTTATGACCATGAAATACCGGCTAAGACTGAGTCGGTATCGGGTGATTTACAGTGCCAAAACGAACGGTGTGAAGGGACATGACTTGCTAGCGTGCGCCGTATGCATGAGGAAAAAAATTGCCCGCAGCTTCCCTCGGGGAACACTGAGGAGGATGCGGACCATATAATTGGTTAACGGGGTGTTAAAGTGCGACTTACTTGGGTCGATGGCTAAATTGGTTAACGTGGTTGTGAAATGGGGTGTTAAATTGCGACTTACTTGGGTCGATGGCTAAATTGGTTAACGTGGTTGTAGGAGGGGGTGTTAAATGAGTGAACACGTACACACGTATGCGAAAGGGCGGCGCTGGTCGAAGGGACGTCGATCATTGTGTTTGTGGATTCGTTGGAATTCATTTCACCGCGACCTTGGACGTCGACGCGCCGTACAAACCAACCGACGAGCGGCAACTGAGCGAGCGAGCGCCGACCTTGAGTATATATACAGCACGACGGTGCATGCACTGTCAGCTGTTGAATGTTCTCGAAGCGCGACGCCACATGCGCGTCCACTGGAGAATCAGGAGAATTGTAGATGTCGAACGCGGTGTGTAGAGGAGGAAGGGTGCACAGATGGTGGAGGAGTGAAGCGCGCGCAATGTGTAGAGGAGGAAGGGATGCACAGATGGTGGAAGAGTGGGCGACGGCGCGACGGCGCATGCGCACGCGTCAGCTGTCGAATGTTCGAGAAGCGGTGCGGACGGCGCGGACAGCGCGCTACAAGGCGCGAGTATAAGATGCTCCGCATCTAAAAGTAGCAGACGACGCAAGCACGCACCAGCTTGATGAACCAATGCGCTTGTGCAACGTTTCGAAATCTGACCAGAAATTTGCACTCCTTAGACCACCGGCCACGCACTCGCATGCTCCCCCTAACAGTGGACCCTACTGTACAAAGTGAAGTTGTCTGTCTCCACATAGGTTAATGATACGCTGACTGTGTTCTTTTAATTAGCCCACATTCAAATGCACGTGGCTTTACTTTTCATTGCATCTATCTGTTTTTGTAGCACTAGGAAAACAAGAGCATACCATGGCACATTTATAATTGCGTGAGCTGGCGATGCGCTTTTTAATAACATATTTATAACAGGGCCTCCATAACAAATAGTGGATACTTAAAAACAAGACGCTTCATGTTTGGTCCGAAAAGCGCTAGTATGAATCTTGTGAGAGACAATTGGGTCGTTCGGGCAGTGTCGATTGACCGTTGTTGTAAACGAAGATCATAAGTAGATGTCGTATAGTAGGATGAATACCTTACGCAGCAGCGGCATGGTGAGGACTATTAAACAGAACTGACCGATGAAATCCCAATATATACGCAATAATTGACGCCAGTAGCCCAAATTTTATAGGTGGTCCTTTTTCTGCGCTGTCTTTCACTACCCGTGTACTGATTTCCAATATAGCACAGTGTGAGCTGCCTCGAAATCACTCGATTTCGTACATTATTAATTCATGACAACACACTAGAAGCAGTTTTCTTGCTGTTTGAGCTTCTTGTCCCCAAATCGAGATATAAGATCTGATGCAGCTCTTAGGCTCACGTGTGCAACGCCGTACATAGGTACGTCCTTACTAAAGCGCTGTAATGCGTTCCCCCTCGCCGCAGGTGTTGGTGCGGTGCCAAGTAGCTAACGACGCAGCTGCGCGTTGACGTCAGCACTCCCCTCCGGTGCTTCACTCGCAGCTGCGCACTGGTAGTCAGTCTCTCTCTCTCTCACCCGCAGCACGCTCGCAGCAGCCCCCACAGTTGCCTGCTCGTTCATCCGCTCGAAACACACTTTTCTTTTCACCCTCTCCACCGACCGCCACTTGCAACGATGTCAAGTCGGTCTGGTCGCACCTGCACGTTGACGTTTTCTCTCCCTCCTCGTAGCCACTGCCGGCTCCACCCAGTATCTAGATGGTGTTGTTCCTCCGCCCACTCGCAGCACACTTCTCTCACGCTTCACCCTCTCCACCGCCAGCAACACTCGACCGAACAACAAGTGGAAACACTCTTTCTGCTTGTTTATCTGAGATTAAGCTTACGCGACAGCCTACCCACCTCCCGTGTCTGTGTTTCCATGAAACGTTTACTCAAAGCGACGCTACATCGAGTTTCGCTTCAAACCATTCTTCCAGTACCCGTGTTGACGCCCCTTTCAACCGGGTCAACGCCGTGAGCACCGCTGCTGCCTCGCATCCCATCCGGGTTTTATTCGGCAAGATGGTTCATTATCGTCTAGTGGCTAAGGTACTCGGCTGCTGACCCGCAGGTCGCGGGATCGAGTCCCTGCTGCGGCGGCTGCATTTCCGATGGAGGCGGAAATGTTGTAGGCCCGTGTGCTCAGATTTGGGTGCACTTTAAAGAACCCCAGGTGGTCAAAATTTCCGGAGCCCTCCACTACGGCGTCGCTCATAATCATATGGTGGTTTTGGGACGTTAAACACCACATATCAAAGATGGTTCATTATTTTTTTCCGATTGTAGGAACAGCGCAACCTCGAAGTAGTTACTTCGTATCTACGGAAGCCAAAAAGCAAGGACCGAAAAGATTGCTGACTTTCAACAAAGATTTAATATCGGACTGGTGTACATATATAGGCGAAAAAAGGAGAACATTGGGCATGCGTTGAAGGGTGAAGGAACAACCACTGCGATACAATGTCAGCAAAACTCTCGTCTCTTGTTGAATGAGCTGAAAACAAATACACA